TCATGGGGAACCGGGTTTGGCAACGGTGGTTATTGCAGAATATTTCTCCCAGATGATGGTCGATATAAAATCTTTTGGCCACGTTGATGGTGATCGAATCATGAGACAGTGAATCACATTCTTCATTGAAAACTCTTACTGTCTTTACATATCGGTCTAATGATATTAATATTTGGTCTTGTTTTTGTTGTTTTTACTTTAGAAAACGTATTCTTATAGATTTTAAATTTGTCTTCATTCCTTTTTTACACTATCCGAAACTAAAATTTCGAAATCAAAACAGTGAAAGCACCACTAGCTCTTGTAGAAGAAGAGTCTTAAGTGTACCGTATCACAAATTGACAATCATTATTCTGAAACAGAAAGATGGCAATCAAAGTAGATGCTCTTAATTAATATTACTTAAGTGCTACGAATCCCATGATAACTGAACAAAGAACAGACAAAATTATTAAGAACATAAGTTAAAATTACGACCACTAGATCATTAGAAACCCTATAATCTGGCTTCATATAATATGCCCTTCATCAAGTCCATCTCTGATTCTCCCAATCCTAGTTCACAAAAGAAAACAGAAAGAAACAAGTTACCAAGTCAAGCAAGCAATACACACAGAAAGATTTACCAATTTGTTACTCTGAAATCATGCACAAGTTTAAGGACTTGAGAACTAAACAAAAGACAGGGATTCTGGGAGATTTACAAATGGAATTAGTAAAGATATCAACTTTCTTTGTTGATTATACCCCTCCATGTAAATGTCCGGCTTAGACATTTTGTTGGGATGAGTGTTTTTTCCCATATTGTAATAACTATGTATACATGAGGAATCAAACTATATCATCATGATGCACAGCTCCAAGCCAGAAGCATTTCTGAAAATTTCCTGAACATGAGTGAGCAAATTCAAAACCCATACCTTCAATAGTTTTGGTGTTAAGGTTTTGGTGGAGCCGGTCTACAGAGGACGGGATGTCTAATGCCGTTAAAAGTAAGCAAACCCTTGGCTTGATACTCAACAAGAGGTCCATCCGGCTTCTCCCTCGCCATAAATGTAATGTATGACTTCGATCTCGGTGCTCCGCTCTTATTACCTCTCACAACTTGAACAAACTCCACCTTCGGATCCTTCAACCACAAATGATTCAGACTGTACATACACAAATGATTACAAAAAGGAAAAAGCAAACACACAAGTAACCTTGTCTTGGTTGAGTTTTTCGAGACATATACGAGCAATCTCTTCCCAGTACTTTCCATAGGTTTTACCGGGGTAAGCTTCCAGCTCCAAATCTAACCCCTGGCCTTAGCTCTGGATCCACGTAAAATCCCTAAACCACACACCATGAAACTAGTAATCAACAATCTAATTCCTAACTCAATTTAATGAATTTAGCTAACAATTGAAGATCGTACCTTGCTCTCGATGATCTGGCGTTTACAGACGCGATTGTGTTCTATAACCAACTCGTCGTCATCAGAAGAAAGTACGACATCAGAAGAATAATACTCTACACCATCGAAACTTTCCACATCCCAATCCGGTGGCTTTAACCAGTCTATTTTAGGCTCAGGCTCGTAATCTCTGCATTCTTCAACCTCACCATCGCTCTCTTCTCCTTCTTCCTTCTTCGGATCGGCCTCGGCCTTACGCTTTTTCAGATACGAATTAACATCCATTGAAGAAGATGCTTCCATGGATTCCATCATCGTCGAATCTTCTTCGATCGCCGTGTTGAGAACCATGGTGATCGATTAAACCCTAAACCCCTCTCTGCTCCGAGCCAATTTGGGAAAATTTGTTTGAATACTATCGAGTGAATCTCACATTTTCGTTATAGACGTTATAGTTCTTGGGCCATAAATGGGCTTTTTCGTTTTAAACATGAGTAAGTAACCAATACTTTTATTCCTTTTTAAAACAGTAGAGAAAAATTCATGATATGTCCAATGTGGTATGGTCCCATTAAGATTTGCCTAACCACGATTTTGGTCCGCAATTTTTTTAGAATGACATGAAGTTTTGGTTTGAATGTGCGGCATGAGATGAGAGTTGGGAGTTTCATAAGTTTAAATATGCAATAAAACCCACCCAAAAGTCCAAACCAAATGACTTCACATTTTCAATACCAAATGTTGGAATTTTTTCCATCCACACATATATAATAAATGCAAATCAATTTGTCTATGTGGCGGTGTTGCTTTAGAACCCACAATGCCACAAGTAGATAACAAATCATGACTTCAAATATCTCCATTTTATTAGTGACTAAATGAGAATAATGGGACGGTCAATTCTAGAATATTAAAGCTTATCATCAATAATTTATCTAAACATTTTCAATTAACTTTACATTTACACTCTAGAGATAAGCTTAGATTTCGAAAGGTGATGATACAATATGGCCTATCATAAATAGTAACAAAAATAAACTTTTGTTATTATGAAATAGTTTCTCTATTCGAAATGTTAGGATAAAAAAAAATTTCAAAAAATACCACTTTTTAAATGTCATTTTACAAAAA